TTCAGGATATTTACTTTTTATATCGTTTTCGACGATTTGTTTCTGAATTCATTAGAACGCGTGTGTAAATAAACGAAAATCAAGGAAACGTGGTGAACATGGCGCGTAATTTCAATCATAACCGTAAATTAACCGCATGCACATCACAAGACTCCTTTGCATGCAATGAAAGTTTACCACAGGTAGCCCAAGCTCGAAATATGAGCATCGGCGAGCATCGGCATTGTTGCGTAACATTCAAATTATAAGGATTTGTATGGGAAAAAACCTATCGTTTCTGTAACCTACGAAAATGAAAGGATTACAATAAAAAACAGCTTACCTTACTTAAAATGTGTGTTACGTCTCTCCTGTGCGGCCCACAGGCCGATTTATGGCCGTTTTATGGGTTTTTATGTAAACGGTTTTCTCTCGAAACCTTAGTATGGAGAGAAAGCCGTCCCACTTTATTGACGGTTGAGTATTCTTCAGGGTATTTACTTTCTCATACGCTTAGGACCATGACGACTACGTGGGAAAGACACACGAAATAAAGCTTGCATTTTTAGATTCTCGCTCTGCTAAAGCAACCTCGACTAATACGGAATGTCGAAAATAGGACTGACTTGACACCCTCTAACATCGTTTATTGTTTCTTCTCACAAGCGTCAAAGACAAGCAAGCCTCACTGATTATTTTGTAGTTTTTGTTTGCTTCTCCGCAGGTCGGTAAAGCCGGCGTCAATGAAATGAATTCGTATGTGCAAAAGTATGATGTCGAATACATACCATGTATGTCGGTTTAAGTCCTTCTTAACTAATTATTTTTTTTATGAACAAAGAAAATAATTAACTTTGTCTCCAGATCTTTGGCAACTAACAAAAAAATCATTCCATTATTTTCTGCTCCTCCTTGGTGCAGATTTAAACGAACAAAAGAAAATAAAAGATCAGTTAAAATAGGTAATACTTACAATTTACATACTATACACGTCGAAATCTGTCAATCTTTTGTAAACATTTGATAAACAATAAAAATGCAAGCACTAAAAGTTTAAGTTTAGATTTACTTACGTCTTACTCAGTGTATTCTGATGAATTATTTTAGTTGTTTAATTCTGTTATTTTTACTGTTCATATAATTTTTAACTTACATTAAAATGTACTTATTTTAAACAGCCGACTTCTTGCTGTCATAAACTCGGTGTGAAACAGATTTGTTCCTACACGTTTGAATCTCAAATGATTCTGATTTCGGAATCTCCTGATTTTCAGATGTTTTTTGAGATGAATGTGTTAAGTTGCGACTTCCGCAGGGTTCTACTATGTTATATTTTGCAATTGTTCTTTGGATTTTCTGGTCACGCCTGTGATCGAAATACGGGAGAGTTTAGCCAATCATCTCTGATGTAGAAGTTTCACAACTCTAGTACTTCGACTACTTAACACGCTTTTATGGCACTAATTTTAGTAATTTTTTAACTGAAAATTTACAAATTCTTTTTGGAAGCCGATACTTTGTAATTTTAATATTGCTCGCTTTGTTTTATATTTTATTTTATACATACCAGGCTTTGCAGCGAAATTTAGAAACGAAACAACTTAAAGGATTTTATGCCAACAAGGAAAATAACTCATAGCTGACCAATCTGAGAGTCAAGTGAATGGGCTTGCTGGTCATGTAGACGCATGGCCTGTTGGTCAAGTCATAGAATCAAGGTGCGGTAACGATACTTAGAGATTAGACTGAGGAGAGAGAATTTTATCAGTGAGTAGAGAACTTTGTAAGGAATTAAAAAGCAGTTAAAGAATATCGTGTGTTGTCCCTTGTTGAAGAAGAACTGAATTGTTCCCCATAAAAAGGTCGTTCAATGCATTTTCCTTTTTTCCGCCAAATTGGTCCGTACCGGCTCCCCCCCACAGTTACACAGATATATTCAAACTATTCGAAAGTTGACTTACCAGTAAATTTTCTCACATTGTTACTTGGACCAGGGTCTATTGTTCTTTTGTTTCGCTTTCTGATTTTTTTTTGTTGAAATTCTAGAGGAAACTGAAAATGATGAAACAGAAAAGAAGGCGAAAGAACTATAAAGACAGTAAAGTAATGAAACAAACTCAAATACTGATACATTTAAGGCCAGTAAAATTGAAATAAGTACTTGCTGCCAGGAATGACCATCGGAAACAACTGTAGGTGACACATTACTTCTCAGTAAACCGCGACACCGTGTAGGCCTTTTTACGTACTATAAACTGTACGGGGTACCCGACCCCTGAACTTTGGAGGAATTTTGTTGTGTTTGATTGACTAACGATCTACAAAAGCCAGAGGAGGCTCATTTAGTTCACAGTCAAAATTTTTGCTTAGGTGGCCTTCAGGGAAATTAAGACGTCCATAACCTAAGCGTGAAAACTTACTATAATTTTATTTAACATAAACTGTAGTAACAAAAGGTACAACTGATTAATCTTTTATCCGTTTCTGGTGGCAGGTCAGCGAGGTCACTCTGTCAATTATTCTTTTATTTCCCATAAGGTCATTTGACTGGTAACGTGACACCTTCTTTCACAATACTTTGACATAAATAGGTGCTTGTTGGTCCATTACAATGTATTTGTTATAGAACGTTAGATTTGAGGGTGAAGAAAAACGCCACTTAGTACACTTACGAGGAGATCACTGAAGGTACAAATATTATGTTCTTTTTATGTACGATTGTATTAACGCCGAAGTTTCTCCGAATGGTAGAGTACTTTTCTATTCCGTGTACATGTTGTAATAGTTTAATTCTACGGTCCTTGAGACATTTTACACTGACCACTAGTCACAGAAAATAAGTTGCCTCTTTATTCATAAAGGTTCAACTTTATGACTGTAATTTGTCTCACAAAAACAATTATACTCCAAACTATCAATAAAAAACAGTGCTTGTAACCCGGCGGTAGCCTGCCAGGGCGATAGGGGAAGAGCCAGAAAAGTTATTTTATACTAAATTTTATGTTATTCTATAGTTGTCTCGTTAGCGTTATATTATAATTCCAAGTCTCAGTATAAATATTGAATGACCGCGTCTGAAGGGAGATCTTAATTTCAATCCGCCTTTGATATTTACTAACTTTACTGATCCTCTCCAGTTTTATCCATTCATGAGTGTCGGTTTTGTTATTGAAATGCTACTCTTTTGTAAGTGGTTATTTGTTTTCGTATTCTTAAGATTTGCTTTAAAAGGAAATATTTCCGAAATATGTCTTCATGCTCATTGCTTTCTTGTGGTTTGGTTTACTCTCTTTCTCTTTCATATTGATTTTTAAACAATATAATTATAATAAACAACTTCTTTTCGAATGTGAGCTCCGCTTTTAGGTTTGCTAAAATCAATATATAGTTGACTCCCGATAACTCGAACCCTCGCTAACTCGAACCTCGAGCGAACTCGAACCAAAATCGATTTCCCCTGGATTTCAGTCATACATTTACTGTAATTTTACCCCCGGTAACTCGAATCTCCCGCTAACTCGAAGTAATTTTTGTTTCCCCTCAGATCATTTCTATATAATTTTACCCTTGATAACCCTTAAAAAGACGGGAAAAAACAACAGTGTATTGGCGTCCGAAACATAGAATTTTGAATTTTCCTTACTCCCGGCTATTTTCTTCGAGCTCCCGATAACTCGAACTTTTTTCGATTTCCCTTGAAGGTACGAGTTATCGGGAGTCGACTGTATACTATTCTACAAAAGATGGGAAATTCATTCTGTTCTATGAAAATTAACTTTCACTTTTTTTAATTCTAAATATATTTTACAATTGAATGGCCCGCGCCTAACAATTACTTGGCTGAAACTCACCTTACCGCAATCTCCTTTGCTTTGGCTGCCAATGTTTGTGTCAGTGATATAAATAAATAATTGGTCAAGGCGACTTGAATGTCATAGCTGGAAAAGGTGTTTTTTCTAGTTAACGCCTAAAACTGCACTTTGAGATCTGCTTTTGCAGTTCAGTTTAATAAGCTCTTCTACCACGTGAATGCATCACTAGCTGCGTAGGGCGTCTACAGAGCTTTTCGATATTTCGGTTTTGAACGAAAGCTCAAGGCTTCTTTTTCTTCGCGGGCTAAATTGGCCA